CTCCAGTCACAACGAAGTCCAAAAATGAGTGGATGAATGAATCGCCTCGAAAGACACCGCGTTCTACCGTCGTGGAATTGTCCTGTTGCTAGAGAGATGGGAAAAAGTATTAGAAAATGGAAGAAATTACTTTGATTAAGGTATTCATTCATCTTCCCTTCGAAACAGATCAATTTTGGAGATGAAAAAACGGGAGGAATTAAGTTTAACACCTAATATAATTGTACAATAATATTTATACTTTACGATTTTCACTATGACATTGGAGCACAGTTATTTCATATTAGAAATATCCTAGATATCTCGCATTACAATTTTCATGTTTTATACGATTTTACAATCATCAAATCTAACTTCTATAATTAAGCAATTTAGCGTATCCCGTATTTTTCTAATAGTACAATCTTACTCTACCACTACATGAAGAATTTATTGCCAAATATTTACTTATTAAATAATAAATAAGATTTAAAAGCTTATCTCAATGAACCTTGAAGACATCCAAATACTAAAACTTTTTTTACAACGACTACAGACATAATTTAATAATAAATTTTCCACTAAATAGTTTTCAATCCAAGAGCAATAAATTCGTGGTGGAATCAATAGATAGCGTTTATTAGGTTAGCAGAAACACCGCTATCTCATATTAGGCGTGTATCTCATAATAAAGGGCTTTACTGGCCTCTACTGGCCGGAATGTTGAGCTCAAAGTTTGAATATTTAATTTAATCCTCGAAAAATACTAAAAAGTAATTGACGTAGTTATGTTATTTGTTGGTCAAATGGTATCAAATGATATCAAATGATGATAATTAGACAGAGATTATTCTGAGAGATTGAAGAATAAACTAGTTATCATTTTGAATAGTATGATAATGCTGAAAATCAGGTTTTTGTATTCCCATTCGTGATAGAACAAAGTCCAACAACTCACTGCATGGAGATGGCTATCTAATGAGTTTCTCCCTGCAATATCTCAACTGATTAATCATGAAGATTCAAAGTTTGAAGATACAAACAAAAAATGGTGGAAAAATCTTTACTAATTGCTGTAAAATCTAATCTCTTCCGTAGAAAGATGATATAAAGTTTTTGACATGAAGCCGCAAATAGAGTCAACGGAAAAACGGATCAACGGAAAAAACAGGCAAGACATTTACAATTATTTGGTTAATATTGACAAGAAATTGACACATTCTTAAATTTAAAACCAAGAAAGATTTTACAGTAAATCAAATATACAAGATCAAATTGATTTACAGTAATTGGAGATTTATTCACAGTTTATGCGTGCATTTTCAAATTACAAATCTGTCTCCAAGTTAATAGAGAAGTAGTTTTGTAATTACAAATTTGTATCTAATTACCGTTATCTGGTATTTGTGAAAATCTACCATTTAAACCAGCAAATTACATAAATATGTCGGATGTAACCTTTACATATTTTTCCACACACACACACACACACACACACACACACACACACACACACACACACACACACA